CTTTTATATAAAAGTTTAATTAGTTGCAGAAAGAAATTTTAATACAATTTCTTTTAATAATGGGTAATATAATGAAGTATAAAGTTTTGCCTTTAGAAGTTATTAAATTTAATTGTTCTAATGCTAAGTCTAAAAGTATGATATTTTAAAATATCCTATTAAGTATATAGTGCACCTTGGGACAGATGGAGGTGGCCCACCATGGGACACTCGATATGCATAATTAATCATTAAAAACAGATTTTTAACAAAAAGTTATTGTGCATGCAAAGTATTTTTTAATTTATATAATGTGTTTATTAATAGTTATTATTTCTTATTTTAGGAACTCATTAGACTTAACTAATCACAAGAATTGGAAGCAAAAAGTATAAAAATAATGCAGCAATTTGTGCTAACAATGTTGAAAAAGCAACTGCAAATTTTATCAGGGGAAATGACTTGTAAGAAAGCTGCTGAATTCCACAATATTAGTAAGACCACACTGAGCCGCAATTTTATTTCCTTTAAAAAAAGAGAGCAGCCAAATTCTAACTTTAAATAGATTTTAAATATACAGAGTTGCAAAATATTCACAGACGAGGAAGAAACAGATTTGGTTCACTATATGTTACAAGCCTCCAAGCACCATTAAGGATTAACAATATGTGATACACATGCACTAACATATGAGTGCGCTTCGCCAAACCAAATGAACATTCCTCCAAACTGGGAGAAATGTTTAAAAAAATCTGTGAAGATGAGGATTTAATGCTCTCAGAATTAGTGAGAAATACATCCAAAAGAAAACCAGTAAATAGTGATTTGTGTAATGATAACAGTGATGATGATTCTTGCAGCTTAAATGAAATGAACAGTGAAAGTGACAAAATATTTGACGATAAGCAAAAAGTACATCTAGAAAAAAGTAGTGAAACAAGATTACATATTGGAGATTTTGCTCATAGCAAATTTGCTGGTAAAAGATCTGTTGTTGCATTTGTAGATTGTGTTGAAAGAGTTGATAGAGATGAGTAAGAGTTATCAGTTTTGAGAAGAGTGAATCAATCTGCAATATTTACTTATCCCGAAAAAGAAGACAAATCAGTGTTTTCACTACAGCGCGAGAACGCGAGAATCTCGCATATTTTTTTATATTCTCGCATTAAAAAATGATTACCGCGAGAAATTCGCGCATCCTATAAACCAATTTCAAAATTCGCGAATTTCTCGCATTTTGAAAAAAATTTCTCATTTGCGCCATTTAGAATAAAATCCGTTTCACTTTTCTTCCTGGATCTTTTATTATTTTCAACATCTGCCCCATTATCTAGCTTCCCTATTTACCAGTATTGTTCAGAACCTTTAAGAACAACAGAACACCATCCTTCCGAACCACGGAACCTCTTTCAGAACGCATTTCTCTGCAACCACGTGTTTACCGTAGGTAAGGTTTCTTCATGTAAGACGTTCAAATTTTTTGCTCGTTAATGTAAGATGGACAAATACCTTGTAAAGCCAATATCTTCTACTCCGAAACGGACAAATGAAAATGAAACAAATGTGGGTAGAAACGATCAAAACGAAACAAATACGCATTTGAGCAACCTAATGAGAATAGCTGATGAAAAAGTAGATGTAGAACATTTTCCATATGATGATGCAGCAAAAATATTCAATGCTTTAAAAATTAGAAGATGTTAAAAATGCATTATAATTAAAGAAATGATTTTTTTTCAAGTCTCTTTTTTTTTTTTTTTTTTTAATTTTTGAAATCTCACTTAACTTTTTGAAATCTCACCCTGTTTTTGAGAAAGGGTGAGAAATTCTCACCCATTTTTTTTCTGTGATGAAAACACTGCAAATCATACATAGATTCAAATGACATTTCGTTAAAACTTAAGCAGAGCAAAGCTTTGAGCATTCTTTAGGTTTGGTATTTAATTCTGAACAATTGGATTTGCATACAAGAAGTTGAAACTAACAAAATAAAACTTTATCAACAAGATTAAAAAATGTAAATTTATTTAGCTATACTATTTTTAGAAAATTTCTACTCAACTTTTCACATCTTTTAAACTGTCCCAAGGTGCCCCACTAGGAGGTACACCTTGGGACAAATAATAAGGTAACTAAACATTTTTTTAAATTTTTTCTATGACAGATACAAAATCTAAACCTAGTTAAAAATGTTTTCAAATGTTACAAGAATACCAGGTAAAATTTTGAAGAAAATTGATCAAAATAAGAAAATTTAAAAAAATGAAAATAACAAAGTGTCCCAAGGTGAGCCACTCTCCCCTAATAATAATGCTTTCAAAATAAACAACCATTTTCCCTAAATATTGATCAAATACATTGCAATGAATATTTATTGTTTATGAAATCAAAATTTAACTTAATAGTTCCAATGCACCCAGTCTTAAATGTTTTAATTTTTTTCAAAAAAATACAAACTCATCAAAAGACTGAAAACTTTCACAACTCTTTTAATGATTTTTTTTTAAAAAAAAAAAAAAAAAAAAAACTTTGTTACGCAGCAAGCATTTACTTAAATTAATAAGAAATCAAAATTTTTGTCTTTACTTCCATCAGATTTCGACACATTTATATCATTAAAAAATTAACTTTTACAAAACTAAACAAAAAAACTTTAAATAAAAAGAAAATTATTTTTGTATTACAACTCATCTTACTTTCTACATCTTAATTAATATCACAAGAAAATTGTGAACTAAAAAATGTAACATATAATAAAACTAGTTCCAAAAATTTTTTATACAAATAACAATTTTTTTAAACATTATTTCATATTTTTTCAAATAATTTAATTAATTTTTAATAGTAAATTAATATTTAATTATTGCAATGTGTGTGTGTGTTAATTTATGCATTTCCAAATAATAAAATCCAAAATATGACAGTTAAATAATAAGAAACAAGTAAATTTAAAATTTGTAAGAAAGGAATATTTACAAAATTATTTCCCAGGATGAACCATTAATTTAATATCAAATTTTGTGATTAAAAATAATGTATCAACATGTTTACTACACATAGTTTAAACTATTTCATAAAACACTTTAGGAACATGCTTACAAGCGTTTTTGAAAAAGAAAATCTTAATAGTTAACTCCACTGCTTAACATAATACAAAAGATATGACAGTCTATTTACTTTCTAACCAATAACCTATTAAATAGTTAAAAGGTAGGAGTTCAATCTTACAATATATTTAAAAGATTTTAGGATAAAAGATATAACATAAAAAAAAAAGACAATAGTAGTCTAGTTGCTACAAAACCATAACCATGCAAAATAAAATTTGTTCTAAGAAATGAATAAGAACAAAAATTATTACATAGCAAAATAATCTATTACTTCCTTTAAAAAAAAAAAAAAAAAAAAAAAAAAAAAAAAAAAAAAAAAAAAAAAAACAGCTTCCTATATATTTAAGTATACAAGAATATTCATTTGAGAAAAAAATTAATTCAAATATATAAGTAAGGGACTCAAACCATCAACATAAGCTTATGTGCAACATAGCCAATGTCTTGAAAAATAGACATCAAAAATTATATATAGACTAAGACTATAAATATTTATATAGTCTAAGACTATATAAACTATACAGAAATAGACTTGAAACATGAAAAATATGATCACATCGCTAAATAAATATCTAAAAATAAAAAGATACTTTTCGGTTAATTGAAAAGTCGCCAAAAAATGTAGAACTTTGCCAATTTTTATTTTATTTATTTTTTTAACACAAAAATTAAAAATTTAAAAAAATGAATTAAATTGAAAATAGTTAAAGTTTCTAGTACCCAGATAACCAAAAAAAGTAACAAAAAAAACTTAAAATTTAGATTGTCGAATTTCAACATCAAAAACTGATTGTTGACAAGTCCTGCAAAAATAATGGTTTAAGTTCTCGAAAATCCTAAGCACTGAAAAAGTGAGCAAATTTTTTTTTTTTAGAAAACCATTCAGTTGTACATGCATGAACAAAATTTCGAGTACCTATATTAAATTGAATACATACAATTCATTTTTATAAAATTAGTTTCGATGCTATCTCTAAATTTTAATTAAAATAACTTTAAGCATTTAAGTCAACACAGCAACAAAATGTTAAGCATAGACATCTCACACATATTTATCCATCACTTGGTAAACTAATAACTATCAAAGAATTGCCAGCACTAATAAAATATTTATGTAAGCTTATATTTTAATGTTTAAATTTAATTTGGGGATACTTCCGTATCATTATTTGTCACGCCAACTACAATTGCCAAGGTGCCAAATAAATTTTTAACTATCATTTATTTTATTTTTTTAAATAACATGTAAATGCCCAGGGATAACTATGCATTATGCCATTAGAGTTGGTCCCTTTTTGTGTTGTTTCTTTTAGTTTCTTGCAAGCTGCTGCCTAGCACAATACAGAAATCTCCCATTTAATTCAAATGCGTGCATAGTATGATTGAAATAACTAAACTATATCCAGTAATGTTGATGAACCAACATTTTAGTTAGATAGCAGGAAGATTTTAAATAATGTTGATTAAAAAGTTATGAAAAATAATACAAAATTAAGTTATCTGAATAAATTATACCGTTTGAGAAAAGCAGACTGATGATCTGTTACAGTGTTTAACAAAAAAAACCAGCATTAAATTAGAAATACACTTTTGTCAATTTAAACACCGATTCAATTAAATATTTACTAAGTTAATGTTTCAAGAGATTTTGTTGTGAACATAAAAAGAATGACTGAAACAATTACACGTTTAAAAACCCATCAAGTATACACATAGTTGTAAAATGTAACTACGTTTTTCATAAAATCCCATTTACTTTAGGGTATTTGTCTTAACATTTATTTAATAATAGCTTACATCTTTCAGATGTATTTTGAGGAATAAAATTGAGCTTCATATAATTGCTCTATGTGAAGAAAAATGAAATATAAAGTTGCAAATACTAGTAAGAATTATTTTGTTGTTACTTACCGTAATTAGAGGCTAAAACAACGTTACATAATACATTTAAAAAGCAATAAAAGCTAATAAAGCGCATAACAACCTTACAAGCCGCCATGATTCTAACAATAATGACAAGGAGTTGCCAATGAACTAGAGGTCTCAATGGAACTTTATCTTAACTAAACGAAAATCTGGCAACAAGTTAAATTGATACGAAAAAAGTAATACAACTCCCATCAATGATTATTTCGGAAACGTTCATAATATTAATTTTTAAAAACCGATTATTTCATTTTTTTCAGTTTTTATTTTTAAACGATCTATACTTCTAATCGAAACTCTGCGAAACATTTAGAACCTTTAATCAGAAGAAAGAATGTGGTGAACAGTTCATTCTATCCTGAATGGGTTATCGTCTTTTTGTTTACCTTTCTATGTTTTGTTGTGATGAAATTACTCGAGTAGCTGGATTTTGAACAATCTAAATGATTGTCTAAGAGTTTTTACTAAGAAAAACAATTACTTTTTTTGTAATTTTAAGAAATAACGCTTTAAATTGATACTACATAGTAAATATTTGAATTATTTTTTATCTGTTGTTGCTTAAGTTGATAATTATGTTCTGCTGTTATTTCATCTCAATATTTTCTTTCTTTTCAGCTTTCAATAATCTTGTGTCATATATTTATTGCGTGTAATATTAAATTTTTGCTTTTAATTTAATCAACTCAGGCCTGTCCTTAGTTATATCATATATCTAACTACTAAATTGCAATTCCTAACTTAAATGTGTTAACTTTTTATAGGCTGAAGAAAAATCTTGAAAATTAATTGATTTTTTTGAAGAAACACGTCTTATTATTAAATGTTGCTTTATTTTGAAACAAAGTTAAATTTGTTCTTTCATTTAAACAAACTACTAGGTTGTTAAATGTACTGCACTTTATGTCATAAGTTATGCCCACAGCTTTTCAATATTTTATAAATCTGCTTTTTCTGTTTCATGACATATTTTCTTAAATGTTATTTTTACTTTACTTTACTAAACTTTACCAATGTATATTCAGAAATTTAAGCCAAATGTAAATTATTTATTTGTAAAAAAAAGGTACTTGGCTATAATTGATTATATTTCCGTGTCATGTTCTTTTGCACCAACTACAATCATCAAGGTTCCAAATAGATTTTAAACTTGTACATTTTTAAAAAAAAAAACTATGTAGAGATTTACACAGCGGTAGCTACAAGTTTTACTCTTTGAGTTGGTCCCCCTCAGTGAAGTTTTTTATAGTTTTTCGTGGGCTTCCGCCCATAAATTACCAAAATAATACGATTTTCTTCCACAGATCAGGATAAGGAAACCTTCTTTATTATTTCTTGTAACTAGATAAATACAAAAGCCATGAAAGTAAATATCTAATAACAATTTTAGAAAGGAAATTTCATTAAATTCTTTTTATGTACAGTAGAGCCCTGATTATCTGATAGAGCACTAATGATAGCAAACTTGCTGATAGTCTAAAAAACTCAAAAAGTAAAGTGAAAACAAGAAAAATAATTTTCAAATATATTGATGCAGCAGAAATTTTTTTTCTACCTTTAAATTATTTAAAAGATGAATGGTAAAGAAAAATGTATTGTATTTATGCCTCATAAAAGTGTTCAGTTATAAAAGTTCATCATAAAACTGTCCAGGTACACCTTTTTATCACATGCAATATAATTTTTGGATCCTTTTGCCAAACTCATGCACATTTTTTTCTTTTGTGATGAAATATGACTATTACTTGTGTGTACATTTTTTTCATGCAAAAATTGAGTTAAAAAAAAATTTTAAGAAAAAGAGAAAAATTTCATATGAGTATACAAAATGCAATCTATTTATGTGGATTATTAGGATTCTTAAATATTTATAATTTATATGATTTTTAAATGTTAATGATATGATTTTCCTTAACCAATTCTAAACTATTTATTTTTACTCAGTAAAACATGCTGAAGTCTTTAGAGCAGTTGCAGTATGGCATGATTAGTCCTAAATCTTTTCAAGCTGCCTCTGCTATGAACAGAATATTTGATATTGAACTTAGCACAAGTTCTAGGATTGAAAGATTTCACAAGGCTGGTGTGAATTGTTTGGACATCGACAAAATAGATGAACGATAGTAAGCTAACAATTTAACAATATTTGTTTAACACTAGAACCTAGTGTTATTTTGATCATTTTTTTGCCATTTCCTATGTTAGTTTTGAAGATACATTTAAGCTTTGAAGATACATTTAAGCTTTGAAGCTCATATCTTTTTATTTTCCGTAAATTGTATCTAAATACTATATCAAAATTTCATGCCTTTCTGTTGATTAGTAAAATAAATAATTATGGAAATACCTAAAATAGCCAGAGGGGGTCATTATGACCCCTATAAGAAAAATGTTCATTTTTGAAGTTTTAGTTCTGTTTTTAATTTCGGAGAAGTGCTAACAGTATGAAGAAGAATTGTATAACAGAAATTAGAATCCACCGTGTTAACAAAAACGTCACAAGCTGCAGTTTCCATGAAATTATATTGTATCTTAGATTCGATTACAGAAATAGCTTAGTTTACTAAGCTACTTCGTTCCGGTTCAATTATAATGTCGCTTTCGTGTCTGAAAAAAACCATGTTATGGTTTTTTTCAGACGCGGACGAATAGTATTGGACAGGTTATTCCAAACCTGGACAAATAGTATTGTTGGGGAACAGTTATTGTCATGTAAATAATCATGAAAATTATTGCATAACTTTCAATCCACATAACTTTGATTTTAACTAATATTAAGTCCAAAAAAAAAATTTTATTTATTTTTTTTTTTAAATTGTAAAACGGGCAAATGAATTGCATCCTTAGAAAAGTATAGTGCTCTAACTATGGAATCACACCTAAACTCCAGACGCAGTGGAGTTACTATCTTTAGACTCGGTAAAACTGGCAGATGGATTTCGTTAGTAAAAAAAACCTAACACTACTGGTAACTACATTTAAACAAAAGAAAATGTTCTCCTAATTTCAATGCTGATTCTTCGTCGTGACATTCATATTTTGCACTGCAAATGAAAACTGTATAGTTTCCAGATAGATGAAAAAGAAAAATACCATAATTATGAATAGCATTCACACAGAGTAAAAGCCAAACACTGTCACTTACTACAATAGTACAACATGTCAAAATGGGATGTAGGCTTAGCAGACTAGATGCTAGGGAATTATTCTTAAAGAGGTGAAACTTTTTAGTGTCTTGCATATTTGTACAACATTTGTGATATTGCTGTCTTCAATGCTTGAATCCTTTGCTATCCCAATTATAGTTTGTCTAAAGTAAGAACTCCCCTAGCCATTCGTCTGGACCCATGACGGTGACTATGGCAATGAGGTATAACTATTTCAAGTAGGGGTGTGGGGTAATTGTTTAGGACAAGTTTTGACTCGGGTGGGCGAGAGAAAGGGAATCTTTTTTTTTTTCGGTCTTTGTTTAAGTCTTAGAGTAAAAAGAAGCTACCCTCTCTGAATTGTTTCCATAGCAGCAGACGGCATCAGACTTTNGGGGGGGGGGGGGTCTTACCATGGACAAACTGTGCTCATTGGAAGTTCATTCTTGTGTTTGTTGAAGTATAAATTATTACTTTGCGCATCAAATAGCCCCTAATTGATAATATTTAGTTCCTAAAATATAAGAAACATGGCTTTTAACATCGGAAGTCACAGAATAAAACGAATAAAAGCTAGAAGAAATGAAATATAATTTGTTGATGTCTTGTTGTCACTTTCACGTCACAAGGATATACTGCATAAGCCTACGCTAATACCTAATTGGTGATGGAACTTAACATTTTAAACTATGTGTGTGCTAATGTATATTATTTATAATATCATTTGTTTATTTTGTATAACTTTCGCTCTTGTGAAAGAATAATCTGTTAAATAATATTACATCATTATGTAATATTGTCATTGCGTTAATAATAACAATAATAATAAAATATTTTTAAAAAAAAATTTTTTTTACTGCTCTTACATATTGTATTCTCAACAATATTCATCATTCGTACTTATTGAAATAACATCAATTTCTTATTAGGGTCAAATTGACCCAGAATGGCATTTTAGTTGAGTTCAAAATCCAGGTGTTCCAGTGTTAAAAAACTATTTTATCAATATCTCTTGTACCAAGTAATGTCATGAAGTAATATGAATAATAGTAATATGCCATTGGTCAATTCCATATGTGACAGACATGACATCAGACAGCTTTTTTTTGCCTAATTTTAGATACTAAATATTAAGATATCTTCACTAATTTTTCTGTAAAGTAACTTATATACCTGTCATTATATACCTGTCATTTGTTTCAGTTCAAAAGCATTTTATTTAATGGAATAAAAATATACTGTGACAAACATGACAAATGGTCATGAATTTAAAATGACTGAGATATGTAATCAATTGCTTTTGAAGTGGTGCATAATTATAAGTAAAAATTTTTAGTTTAATGAAACAGGGCTTAATTTTAAGGCATTAAGTAATAAAATTATCAAATTTTTTTAGAAAAAAATATACCTTTTTCAAAAATGTTTTGCTGAGTGTGACAGACATGGTTTGTGCGAAATTTTAAAATGTATTTGGCCTTTTTTTACTATAAATGAAATTATTTAATTTTAATTATACATAAAAGATTGCAAACATTATATTTTATGTGAATGAAATATAAAAAGAAGTAGTTTAGGTTTCTAATATCCTCAAAAAAAATTTTAAAATTAGGGCTGAAGTGGTTTTGACTGTTCTGCACTGAATTACAAGTGACAGCTATTTCACTTAATTTTAACTTTCATATAATTTACATAATGTCGATGCCAATACACCTTAACTAAAGTAAACTATTTAAATATATATGAGAGTAATGAATTAAAAAGACGTGTTGTACCCAAACAGGTGTAAATAAATTTTTAAAAAATGTAAACAATAAATAAGAATTTTGACGTAACATCCAATGATTGGCCAAATTTGCCTTGTCAATTGATGGAATGTTACAAACCTCATAAATATCATGAGATATTTTGTAACTACTTTTCAAATATTTTTTAATGAAGTTTAAAGAAACATTTTTAACTTATTAGTTTAGGCCTTCTGTTCACCAGCGTAAGTACTGAAGAAACAAAAAATCGTTTTAAAATATGAGATTCAGAGGAGAATTTTATCAAAATAGCTTTTAATATACAATAATTTTTAAGCAAAACAAATTTTAAAAAAATGTTTGATCACCTAAATGCTACTAGTTGTCAAATTAAATATAAATTGTCAAATAGTTTAAAAAATAGATTGATATATAATAAGTGAAAATTCGATCATTAGAACGATAATTATTCAGAGTGTTTTTTTTTTTTTTCCATGTACAACTTGCTTAATATGTATAGAAAAATCAGTTCTACTACATGTTGTTAAATAAATACGCAAAAAATTCTTATAAAATTTCCAGAGTAGCAACGAAGTAAATAGATTAAATTAAATTAATGATTCACATGCTGTTATTATGTTTTAAATATTGATTATGTATTGATGTTTTGTGAAATGTTTTAATTCGCTTTTTTTATTTTAAATTTTTTTATTTTTTTGTAATTAATGTGTTTCTTACAATTTTAGTTTACTTTCTGGTGGAAGCAAAGGTTCCCTTTGTATACATGATCTGCAAAATAGTACTGGAAAGTCATCTTACAAAGCAAAGGTTGTGTGTCAGAAAATGAGGTAAACATAAAAAATTTAAACCAATCGAGTCATATATAGCAAATTATTCATCATTTATTAGGAAAATAATACTGTTAACAAATGAAAAAATCATCAAAAATAAAAATTTATTAATAAAATCAAATAACAATTCAGTTAATTATTCTGATTAGAGATGTAACCTAATTATTATCATAATCTGGCTTAAAAAAACTAGGTACCATACTAATTTACTTACTAATTTTATTTGTGTTATTAGTTTAGTCTCAAATTAGTAAATATCTGATGAATTAGAAGTTACTTATGGAAACTATCACTCGGAAACTTGTGTACATTTTGTGTATTTACTCATTTTATTTCTATCTAGTCAATTTGTATTTCAAATTTGATGTAATTTATGAAAACTATCACTTATGTCGTTTTAATTTTATTTCTTTTTAGAATTTGTTATTATTTTTCAATTTGATATTACTAATTTAATTAACATATCTTTCAAGCACCTAGAAAACTATTACAGTAGTAAATATGTAGAAAATACATTGTATAATCTGTTTATATATTCTTCTACTATAAATATTATTGTGTTTTAATGTTACAAATTAACTTGTTTGTATGATTACTTTTTCAACGAACATAAAGCCCAATGTATAAAAACCTTTTTTATGTTGCTGGAGTTATGATATTTTCTTAGGGAAACTGTATTTGTATTTTATTTGAAGTGATATAAAAAGATGTAATAAAAAACAGAGCAAAAATTATGATTAGGATTTTTATCACTACGAAAAAAAAAATTATTAAAGGATAACAATAAAATTTTTATATTGTATCATTTATTTGTATTGAAAAAAAATATATAATGTTTGGTTTAAAATTCTTATTTATTATTTTATATATTTATTTATTAATTTTTTTTGTTAAATAAATTTTGACTTTTTATGACTTATAAAAACTTAAGAATTTATTTTAAGAAAAAAGTTATGCACTTACTCAAAAATGGCCCAGTGGCTAACCACATGCCGTTTTAAAGGCATGAAAATAAAGTTTGACTAGGATCATGCAATGCTGACTGCAAGGAGTACGTGGTTCAGGCCGGCATAACTGAATGTAAATCAAGGCATTAGACTCATACATTGATTCAAACCTGATTTTAGTGATTAACTGCACACAATGCATGACAAATTATATCAAGTATAAAACGTGAACAAATACTATATATATCAAATATATATCGTGAATAAATACTAGTCCAATATATATATATCCAGGGGTCTGTCCAGGCCGAATTTACTACCGTTTAGCGGTACCTTCACAAATTCAACTTTAGGAAAAACGGTAGTTTCACAAATTCAATTTTGGAAAAACGGTAGTTTCACAAAATACTTTTTCTTAAAATTTCATTTTTGTATCCCTTAAGAAACGATAAATCCATATTTTTGTGTTGATTTCTTAATATAATTTTTAATTTTTCACAAATTACGTCTAAATTTTCACAAAATAGGTACCTGTCAGAAAAACCTAGACAGACCCCTGATATCAAATATATAATGTGAGCAAATACTATATATATAAAATATATATCATGAATAAATAGTACTAGTCAAATATATATATATATCAAATATATATCTAGAATAATCGTGAATAAATACTACTACTAGAATTATCATGAATAAATACTATATATATCAAATATACATTCTATTTATTCACAAGTTATAGCAAATATATAACTCGTTAAATAAATACAATGATATATGACAAACATTTGCTACTTAGTCATAGTAGTGCAATAAATACTGAAATACAAGTGTCATTTCTATTCAACTCTCTAGAAATTTACATAATGTCAATGCTAACATACCTTAGCAAAATTAAATTATTATTATTATTACATTTGTTTCAAGCATTTCTGCAATTTCTAAACCATAATGTAACAAAACGCAATATGTTGCAGTATTCAATAATCCCATTTTTTAGTGGCAGACCCTGCAAACACTCAAATAGGTGAAAATAAAAGCTCCAAATATAAACAAAATTAAATAATTTTGACTAGTAATGCCCGTTGATCAACGGAACATTGCAAGTTTCTTTTAAGATATAATTATAAAAATTATGACAGATTAAAAATTTCTTTATCTGTTTAAATGGGAAATGAGAAAATTTTTGTATATTAATGAATAATATTTGCCATCATTCGACTGCATCTTTCAGTCTGCAAAATTAAGTTTGTCAATGATTTTCAACATGTTTTCTAATTCCTATAAATATTTAAAATTTCAATTGACAAATAAATAAAAATAATATTGAATAAACTGAATTTATATTAATTTTAGTTCTTTATTTATATTTTTAACTTTAAAGTGGCACGTAAAATTATTTTTAATAGCTTATAAAAATTTTAAATTAATTTTTTTAAAGTTCCTGGTTATTTTTAAATTTTTAGCTTTAAAATTTTCTTGAAAAAATAAATTGAAAAATGACAATAAATAAATTTAAATAGATCGACAAAAGCTTTTATCTGTTTAAGTTTTTAAACAATTCAGGAAAAGTTTGTATATTTGCAACTGGTTTTACTACCATTAAATAATTTCTTTAATGCTGTAAAATTAAATTTCTGAAAAATTTTCAACATATTTTAAATTCATGTTTTCGTATTACCTTAATTATTTAAAATTTAAACTTACGGAGAATATATTCAGTCAGTCAAAATTTTAATGATTAGTGAGTTAAAAAGGTAACTTGTATCACTCTCAAAAATAGTTTTACAAATTCTCAATAAAATGTTCAAGGTATGTAAAGTTTATGTTATATGGATTTAAAATTTGAGTTTAGTTCTACAATACAAAAGATTCATTATAAAAATACTTATTAATTCTATGTATCCAGTATTTTAGCTATGTTTATTTCATGTATACTAAATCTAAATTTCTTATTACTTTGAATTCTTAACAGAAGAATATGCAAACTGTTTTCACTTGGGGAGCTTAAATTTCTAAGTTTTGGTACAAGTTATGGTTAGTTAATTTCATGTCATGATAAGTTGAAACGCTTAGTGGAGAACAAGTTAAGTGATATTTTGAAAAATAAAACTGAAATTTTTGGGTTTAAGTTCATGTCATTGTCACTTAGTATAAAAATTTAAGTGCATCAATTTTTGTCATCTAATCTCTTGAATCCAGCAGTCTTCAATGTTTAAACAGGTTTCGTAATTAGCTTTCTGTCAGTGTGTTTCTACAATATGAAGCTGATTTTCTGAAGTGTTTTAAATAATAATTACATGAAGTTTTGATTTTTTACTGTGTTACTGCTTTTACAACAAAATTATTTCCTTTGTACTTTTAGTGCCCATAAATTCAGTATTACTACAGTGCAGTGGTTTCCATTTGATACAGGAATTTTTGTCACTAGTGGCATGGACAACAAATTAAAAATTTGGGATACAAATTCCATGAGGCCTGCAGACATAATATCTTTTGACTTTAAAGCTAGTTGTCATGATATGTCACCTGTTTCTACGCAGCATTCCTTAATTGCTGGTAAAAATACGATTTTTCTTTTTTTCCCTTCTCATAAAAAAAAATTCAGTAATTGCAATTTTGTTTTCCTGATTGAAATTAATAGAATTTTAGATTTTATTATTAAACTTCAATGAGTGCATTATTTTTCAAAACAAACAACAACAAAAAAAAGATGAAAGAAAACAAGAAACTGTGAGCAAGTCATTTTGCTTTTTTTTTATTTTAAAATAACAGGCACAAATGTCTCTGTTTTTAAAATTTTGTTTTAGATTTTTAAAACATGCAAGACTGTTTCACTCCTAGCTGTATTAAGAAAAAGATACTGTATCTATAAAATTGACATTGCAAAATTCACATTTTTTTGTACAGTCCATGTAGATTTATAGAATTTTAATAAAATGTTGTTTATTGCATCTTAGGGCCATCCACAATTCATGTCACACTTAGAGGGGTGGAAGGGGATTTGGGAAATGGTAATAGTTTGTGACAAAGAGGTGAGAGGAGTTACAAAAAGTGTGACAGAAAACATATAATTGAGTTATAATATAAACATTTTGATTCAGTAGATTAAATATGTTTTTATTATTTATTTTTATGAATTTCTTTTCATCAAAAAAGTACACTCATAATCATTATTGCTATGCTCACAAAATATTTTATTAGTTAAAGTTAAAAAATATACACAGTGCACTCCCGATTATCCGGGTTAATCACGGGGACAGGTCGCATGGACAATCGAAAAACCGGATAATCCGAAAACTTTTATTAAAGAAAAATTCAATATCAGTACAAAAAATATAAAAATTACTGACATTTGCATGAATAACATCAAACTAAGAATTTTCCTTATTAAAAAAATGTGTAATGCGTCTTCTCCACATATCGATACACATATTTTACGAACCGCAGTAATGTCACCGTAATCAAATCCTCCCGTGTAATCTAATAAAGTTTCCACAGAGCAGCAGAATGAGAAATTGTATTACATTCATTTACTACATCTTCTGCATCAGTTATTATTATCACTATTTGATTTAACAACATAACAATGTCTTCATCAGTCAAATACTGGAAGCCAGGCTCACATGCATCACTTTGAAACCAATCTTCTAAATTTTCTTCATCAAGAATTTCGAAACCTTAGATTTCTTTTGCTTGTTCGAGAATACTGTTATCATATTTTTCTTGAACATCTGAAAAGGATTGTTCATCAAGCGGTATGATCTTTCTCCAAGATCGTGATAACGTAGACGATTTTACCTTTGACCATGCTGCTGATATTCCATATACTTCAATCCAATAACGAATATTGCTTCCAAAAATTTGGTAGTGTTATAACTTCATGAATCAATTTTTTTTAATCTTGAAAATTTTTCTCTTTATATTTTTTCTGTGACTCCGGAATGAGCATGGATAATCCGCAAACTGGATAATCCGCACACGGATAATCGAGAGTGTACTGTTATTTGAAGCATAATCTATTACTTTGTGCTTTATTTCTGAGCTGCAAGTACTAATTGTTACAGGTAGCAATGGGGGAGAAAGGGTAAAGTATGTTGGGAAGCAAAAGGTGTGACACATTTATGGGCAGCTCATTTTTCTATACACATCAGTAATTTCTTATTAATTTATGTTTTACTCAAATTATTTTGGTCAGCTTCGATCATTACGCTTTTATTTTAAATCAATCTTATCTTTTAAAAATGTTTAGAAATCACTGCATTATTACTTGCATAATAATTATTACTGCATAAGTAGTAGCTTGTAGCTTGGTTTCAAAATACTTTTAAATAATATGGTTAAGATTTAGCATTGAGCCTCAACTCTTATAAAAAATGCAATGGATAAAATGCTAAGAAATAGGAATATTTTGTGAAAATTTGCCTGAATTGTTCAAAATTTCTTCCAATTTTTAATAATTGTGCAGAAAATTGTTAAAAGTCTAATTGCTTAATTTTATTTTCTGATTCTATATTATATTTTCTCATTTTCTTCTTTCTATTCATATCTAAATGTTTTAAGATCTTTTTCTCTTTCACTTAACTAAGTATGGATAAGATTTTTTTTTTCTTTGCCAACTTTCTGTGCTTTTTGGGAAAATTTCTTCGAGTGATAGCTAGGTTCATGTTTTAGTGAGTTATTCTTTGTTTTATAAATTTAATTTAAAGTTATTTTCCATACCACTGCAAGTAAATGATTCAAAAATTTATATTAAATGTTACTTTGTTCCATCTCACTCATGAAACTTTTAAAATGTTGGCAAAAGTTCTGAAAGCCTTAATTCTTGATTGTGTACCACTCAATAAAATATTTTGAAAAAGCATAATTGTTATCATCCCTGCTTTTCTTGTTCAGTTTACTAAATGTAGTGAAGATATTCTTTTGCCTTTCAGTTGCTCTTGGGTACCCACATGTTGTTCTGATTGATCCTAAAACGGGTTCTCGTTGCCATGAGCTACGTGCGCACAAAAATGCAGTTACGTGTACCAGGTGGTCCCCGACTTGTGAATATCTTCTCGCAAGTGGTGGCATTGACAATAAAATATTTTTGTGGGACATCAGATCAGCAAAAGGTTATCTTCAGACTCTGGACCAACACAACGGTTTACAACACGGAAGCAAAAAGGACTTAAAAACTGCCCACAATGGAGCAATAACTTGTTTGAAGTTTACAAACGACGGTCTTTACTTAGTGTCTTACGGAACTGATAGCCGAATCAGGCTTTGGGATGTTGCCATGTGCAGAAACACTCTGGTCAATTTCGGGAAACTGTTCGATAACACGCTAATGCAATCGCGGTCTATGGACTTGTGCAACGACTCCAATCCTCCTATCCTGTTTGTGCCTAACAGTAAATCAATCCATGTCTATGATCTCTTTTCTGGCTGCAGAATCAAAACTTTGATCGGGCATTTCCGTACGGTGACCAGTTGTGCTTTTAGATCTGCGACGCACGAGCTTCTAAGTTCTGGGCAAGATATGAATATATTGTTGTGGACTCCTGATACAGCTAGAGAGGAAGAGGAAACATTATCTCTGAAAAACTCACAAAATGATGCAGAAGGTAGCCAAATAGTAGATTCTGATAATTGGTCTAGTGGGGAAGATTAACTCTTTATACAAATCTTATTTCCTTATAAGTCAGCATGAAACTCAAAGAGTGTTCCTAAAGTTATAATAGATAATGTAAAATGCTGTATTCAGGGTATCTGCGCTCCTGGAAAGTCATGGATTTCAGTATTGAACAAAATTTGTCATGAAATGTCACGAGCGATTAATTCTCACTTGGGCCGGATCACGCTATTAGTAGAAAATGACATCACTGTTTGGGGAAGGGATATACTGTGTATTGCATAGTATTTTGGCGACAGATTTTATATTTAGTTTTCAAATGCGCTCTATTTACACGTGGTATTAATGCTGAGTAATAAAGACAATATTCACATTTTGCACAGTTTTGTGGTAATTTTTTATTAGAATCTAAGTGAAATTAAGCTATACTGTTTTTATGTCATTAGCAACTGGAGCTGTTCTAGAAATGCAGGGGGGGGGAGGCTAGCCCAAAATTTTAGTCATTACTTTAAACTAAATTTATGTGTTGCTTGATTATGAAGTTTTTAAAATTATTCATAACACAACTAAATTGCGATGTATGAGTAAATTTCAGCTTATATTTATTTCAATTTTTGTTACTTCATAACTGCAAAAGATAATTCTTATGGAAAAACAAACAAACGAAAAAAATAAAACGTATTTGTAATATTACTATACCATCTTATATTTGTAAAAACATTCATTATTTTTATTGTTTTTAGCTTTGATGAATTTAAATCAATTAAAACATAAATATTGTCTGAAATACTGAAGTGGATATTTACCTATCTCCTCACCCTAACGACGACATAATATTAAGTAAACATTTGCAAGGAATAAATAAATTCCAAGCGAGCAAGTGTGCATACGAAATTTGTCGCCAAACTCATACAAACACCAGCCAACCCATCTCCCTTCCCACAGTGATGTCATTTTCGACCAATAGCGTGATCCGGCCCAAGCGAGAATTAATCGCTCGTGAAATGTCATGATTTTAACTACTTAAAAAAAATCATTGATTTAGGTTGCCGAAAAATTTTAATTTTTAAAAAGTAATTCCTCCCTCCCCCGTCAATTTCACGACGTTCTGAATATCTGAATTTGTAATAAAAACTGCACTGACAGTCATATTTTATTAAAATATTAAATGTTTTTAGCCTGTTCTTTAAAAATTATGCTGTTCTTTCAAAAAATGAAAGAAAGAACATCATTTCTAGAGCGAATTATCTTTTAAACTTCTCTGATTATTTATTATTTTTTTATTTTATCAATTTAAAATTCTAGCTGAAACAAGCCAGTCATCCAGGAATTTTTTTTAATTCGGAAATGAGAACAGAAAAATCCCTAGTATTTCTTTCCTTTCTGATGAACAAGTATAGTATCTTTAGAATATCTCTCATGGGCTGCAATAGTGGTACAACTCAAAAGCACGCGTTTTGGACTAAGAACGGGTGTAAATATGAAAACACACATTCTTTTCAGCAGCAATACTTGCACAACTCATAATTCAACTTGAAGGTAATCTTCGTTTAAGCAAACAAAAGCATTTCCTATGCATTTTGCTTAGCAATGAAAACTTTAAACCCACTTATCGCAAAACTTGATTTTTTGAGTTGTACCGCTATGGAAGCCCATGAGCGATATAATTCTGCAGGAAAAAAAGAGGGAGAAAAATTATTTTCTTTTGTATTTTTTTCAGCCATTTTATAGCTTCAACTCTTTATTTGCCCTGTTTTTTAAATTAAAATCTATAAATATGAAGATATAGAGTATAACAGTCTTGGTTATACCTATCATTTCAATTAATGTTATTATAATGCTTTTTTAAAAAATTTATTATTGTGTTTTTGTCTGAGAAAATAGTAATTTCGGTAAGTCATGAAAAATTCTTCGAATTAGACATGAAAAGTCATGGATTTTAAAATCTAAAATTTATCAGATACCCTGTGTATTCAAGGTGTCTAGCAATCAATTTTTAAAAACATACAGGGAAATATTAGTTTTCCAATTGAAGTAGTGTTAAATTCCTGCTGAAAAATATAGAATATTTTCAAAATGCAATTTTAATTTTATTACTCTCTTGTGCAATTATTTTATCTTTCCTTCTAACCAATAAAATGTTCCTAATTTAGTTTAATTGATGTGTAATAATAGCGACTCAAAATTAGTCAAGTTTGTTTCTTTCATTTATACACATTTGACGAGAAAAAAAAGTATTTCTGTGTTGTATTGTACTATGTAATCCTTTTTTATAGTACCATGTTTATTGTATTTGTATAGTAATTATGCCTATAAAATTACTATATTTGTTGCATAATTTTCTAAATTTAATTTATGATAGATATATTAAACTAATTGTATATATTGTTTAAATATTAATCCTCAATTTATACTTTATATTATCTTTTTTAGTTAGTGTAAGAAAGAAAAATTTAAACTGTATTAGGATATACTCTTAAAGTAATGTTTAAGTATGTGTGTTTGATTCTATGGCATTAACAATATTTTACTAATTAGTAAATTTTAAAAAAAATATTGCTTAAAAAAATAACTCTGAAAATTTTGGAATAATAGTCTTGAAAAATAAGAGAAATTTCATCCAGAACTTTGCCAGACACCTTGATTAAACGGGAAATAAATTATTGTTAATGTTATTTATTATTTTATTTGTCATATCCTCTTTTGTAATGCTGCGCTACTATTATAATTATTAATATTTTTTATAGCAACTAAATATTTAAAGTTGAGACTTTTTAGATTTTATATTTATTGAATTCATAATAAAACTAAGTATTATCTTGCAAACTTCATAAAATTTTGTTTTTGAGGATTATTTTCTGCAATTTTCATGTAGTAAGCATTCACCTATGTGATATCCATAAAATATTTTGAATCAAATAAATTGTTGACAGTAATTAATGCATTTCTATGCCTATCAAGAAATATTTATTTAGAATTTTAAAAAAATTTGCACACATTATATGTGGTTTTCTGTTTTATTTATAACTAGTTTATTTATTAAATTTTTGTGATAAGTTTTTAAACTAATTTATGTTAGCTGTCAAGGAAAAAATATAATTTCTTACATGAATTGAAAAAATTAAAATTATATTTACGAAATACATTTCAGGTTTTGTACCTATTAAATAAGTATTTTAATTTTGTTATGTACTATATTTTTATTTGTTCAATTATGTGTCTATAAGTATTTTGCTATGCTTTACTCTTTCATATAAGGGTATTCAGAAAACTCCAGATAGTTTTTTTTTTTTTATCCATAAAATAATACATATTTCTTTGTTTTATTTCATTTTATAACTGTCGTTGAACAGCCAACGTAATTTTTTGGGTTTACGACTACTAATATTCAACTCCATAGCCTTGTAATTTTGAACCCAATCCAGAAGACAAGGTAGCTCTTGGATAAAATATTGGGAGAAATTTGCCCCTTTGTAGAGGACTTTTTGATGGAACTAACCCACATTTGCATTACATGGAGAGGAAAACCTCCCACGGTTAGCCTGACAGCAAGAGGACTTTAAACCATGATTCATCTACCACTGAGAATATTTTACGTCAGCATTGTGGTCGGTGCTAGTTGAATACAGAATTTGCATTGACTTGCCATCACTGGTATACAAATCTGGAAACTGGTCAATGTACGCAGATTTTACTGTATATAATATTTTATAAATTGTTATTAAAAATCATTTTTTGTATAAAATTGCAAGAAGAAAAAGTAAATACTATAATTTTTTGATTGGTGTAGCTAGTTCCTATGTATACAAAAAACTTGAAGTATAAGAAAGTACATTAATAGAATTAAACTTTTGACTTCCACTCTGGCTATAGTTTTGAAATTATATTTTCTGCAATATGGCTATGAGTAAAATATGAAATTGTTAGGATTTTGTAACTCAAATCATACATAGGACTAACTAATTGGAACACTTTTTAAACCATTAATCTTTCTCAGTGAGTGTAACCTCAAGGTTTTTAGTGTTTGTTTTGATTTTCCAAATTTATACACCAGATTTAGACTATATAATTTGTGTTTTTTCTTGTCGTTTTATTGGGGTTTTTTTTTTTTTTTTTGTCTAACCTCCAATACAGTTTTATATATTTTTAGTTTTTTCAATTCTTTTCCTCACTAGCTAATCATGATTTATTTCTACTGCCTGCTTTTTTTTTCCTTAACTTTTTATTATTTTGTTTTGTGGGCACTGATGATAATGTTCCAGTGTAGCATTAAAATTTGTATGCATACAATGCAATTGTAATTATTGTAAATATATTTACAATTTATTTTTATATTTATTCTGTCTTTTACTTATCACCAGCACGAGTGTCTTATTCTCCTTAACAACATTAAAACTGAATTTCAGTACAGTAAAATCCAGTAGTTATAAAAGAAAATATTCAAAGTTATGTCCCTTTTATTTTTTGTTATAGACTTTTGTACAACTATAAACTTAATTGCAAGTAATTGATTATATTTTGCTCAAATCTGTTGTGAAGAATACTAGAAAAACTTTTTTTATAGGCTAAAAATCAATACTTATAATATATTTAACAATGAGCAGCATTATTTTCAACAAATAAATGGATGCAAAATATGTTGCATTTATAAAGTTGAATCACCTGCCGCAATTAAGTACAGTTAGTCCTAAAAGCTACCAACTATTTGAAAATCAATTATATGGAAACTGAGAGAATGATTTGTGTTCTGTTTTGGACTGGAAAATTTATTCTCATTATTTCAATGTTTGTCAACAGCTGCTAAGAAAAACTGTAAAGCAATGCTTTTAATGTAACCACAATTTACAGCTACAATCTGGCATATGGTCTGAAGACAAAATTAACATATGCCTATGCAAATACAGTCAAATCCCGCTATAGTGAACATTCAAGGGACTGAAATTTCAGTTCACTATAACCGGGAGTTCACTATATCCGTTCCGTGAGCAATTTTAACATAGTGTTCCGAACGCCTTCTTTTTATTATTCATTATAAAAATAAATGACTGATTAAATGAATTTCAAAAATGACTGAAAAATAATCCGTAGTAACAAAAAATGTGTTAACTTGATTTCATTTTTTATTAATCTTCGTCTGTGAAGAAAAG